TCTAATGATTTCATCGACTCAAATAACTTCCGATCCTCATTCTGCACATATGATTCCAAGGTATGAGATTTTTCCATTAATGATAACTTCTCATCCTTGGATATTTGGATGGCATGCAGATTTCCTGCCTGGAGAGATACTCTGTTAACCTATCAATAACTTGTTGACAGATTTTGAGTATCAAATTTAATAGTTTGAATTCTTTCAGATAATTTCTCGGCACCCTTTGATATGGATTGAATTTTGTCTGACAAATTAATATTATACTTTTCAATGGTATTCATTTTTTTCAGCTAACTTTTGATTTTCAGTGGCATAAATCCTGTCAGCTAGCTGCTCATTATTAGGCACTTCTAAAAGTGCCTCATTCTTGGCTCTATTATCAAACCATTTGTTAAGGATATAATATGAAAAAACAAAGCTAAGTTCCAATATCAAATAAATAGATGCATTAGAAAAACCATCTAAGCCTTACAGAATACCATCCATGGTATAAGCAAAAAGGTTGTTAAATTCTTGGGTGGTGATATTGTCTGCCATCATATAACTTCAAATTTATTAATTTATCAAATGAACTTACCTCCATTATGAGATTTCAGTAAATTGTGGTAGGTGTAATAATCTTTATCAGGGGGCTGGAGAGCTGGCTCAGCGGTTAAGAGTACTGACTGCTCTTCTAGAGGACTCAGGTTCAATTCCCATCACCCATATGGCAGCTTACAACTGTCTGTAACTCCAGGATCCAGCACCCTCACACAGATATACACCACTAAAATAAATAATTATTTTATGGGCTGAAGAGATGGCTCGGTGGTTAAGAACATCGCCTGCTCTTCCAATGGTCCTGAGTTCAATTTCTGGCAACCACATGGTGGCTCACAACCAACCATCTGTAATGTGGTCTGGTGCCCTCTTCTGGCCTGCAGACATACACACAGACAGAATATTGTATACATAATAAATAAATAAATATTTTTAAAAATCTTTATTGGCCAGCAGGTGTCATGGTTGCTGGCCCTTGCCGGAGAGATGTGACCTGCGGCAGTGTTAACAGCCCTGCTCAGTTCTGCATTGGCGCCTGCATAAATACTGACAAATATGCTTGACAGATTAAAAACAATTAAATTGGTTCCGTACATGGAGTTTCTTGGTAGCCAGAATATCAAGGAACCCAGAGTTCAGGAGCCGGGAACACAAACCAGAAGCTGCTGAAATTGCCACGCATCGGGGAATGTTGCAGGGGCAGGGAGCGGGAGAGCATTGCAAGCCCAGGAATTGCCAAGTTGCTGCGCAGAGGGTCTAATTGCAGTGGGGTTTTGGCCAAAAAAAAAGATGTTTAGGTGAAATCAAGTTGGGCAGGAGTGGGACACCTTCAGCTGGGACCTTTTGAGCCGGTCCCGATAGGCATAGAATCAGGATCTACGTGGGCACCAGATGTAGATTACAGTAAAGCAGTCCCACATTAGCTCAGAATGGAGTATAATAAAGGGTTCTTTATTTAGGGGTAGACTCACAGATCAGCAGTCCTCTGCATGAGCAGGAAACAGGAACCAAATCCAGCAGCCAAGAGAGAACCAAGCAAGCTTTATGTCTACATTTATAGTACAAGAGACCATGCCCAAGTGGGCTGGTATCTTAACAACTATTGGCTGAAGAAGTTCCCACAGTAGTGCACAGTCACAGCCGTGGGAGATGCCCACCAGTGTTCTCTCCATCATATTTTACAAGTGTTCATTGTGGGTGTTTGTTTTCTACTTGAAAGACTTGAGGTTGGCTATGGTAAAGAAAACAATTGTTTGCTTATTTGCTTTATTTTATTTTGAGGCAGGGTTTTGCTGTGTAACAGCCCTGGCTGTCCTGGAGCTCACTTTGTAGACCAGACTGGTCTTGAATTCATGGAGATTCACCTGTCTCTGCCTAGGGAGTGCTGGGATGAAAGGCATGTGCCACCACTGCCCAGCTAAGAAAACAGTTGTTACGTTTAGTTCATTTTCTTTAAACCAAACTATTACATTTATTTTGGTATTGAAACAATGTAATAGTTCTACAGTTTCTCCCACAGACTTCACAGTTCTGAGAGAATGAGATGGCTACATGCATAAGGAATATGGTAGGATGTGCCCATAAGTAAGGTGCCTGGTGCAGGTTATCATCCTGTGGGTTCTTGCAGAAAAGAAACTATTCCCTAGCCTCCCAGGGCTGGTTGGGAGAACACCATTAAAGCTGTGGAATCCTAAAGAGTTCCCCACCAAGGCTGTACACTGAAAGGATAAATCACAAGTCGTTTCCTTTCACTCTGGATATTGATACTCGCTGTCTAAAGTTTCATGGAAAAGGAGAAGTCTAGATAGCTTTGTCCCTGCTAACTCATTCAGAGTGCATTTGTCCACCCCTGAAACTGCTGCAGGACAATTGTAGTGATCCTAAACATAGTACTGGTCATGTACATGACTATTCTTTTTTTAAAAGTCAACATTTAAACCGTTTTCTGTCTTCTAAATTGTGTGGAAGAGTATTTTGTTTTTCATTGTCACGGGACTGGTTAGAATTACTATAAATAATCTATGGTGTGCTAACAAAAGCATTTATGGAAGGTAATAGCATTCATTCTTTAGTATTCTTATTTAGATGCCTGTTTGCAGAGCCATGTCTAACATGGTTATGGTTTCTGGTTAAGCCAGTGTGAAAACAATGGAGATTATACCCTACTTGGCTGTTGTATCTTGAGTTCTGATTAAAGAATAACTTTTGTAGTCTAATAATCCAGATCTGCTTCATACAAAGTCTTTTCAGCCTATAGTATTGATTTTACTGTAGTTTTAGATGTTCTGTGACTATTGGGCATGTGGCATGATATATTTCTCAACCTGTTTTTCATTCCCAAGTACTCCATTCTCCCCTCTTCTAGTTCCTGCCCATGACTTCCTGCCACAGACATATTGTATACTTGTTTTTATCTTGTAAGTATATCTGTGCTTTATACATAAAGAAGATTAAGATTTTTTTATCCCCCCCCAAAAAACAGATTTTACTTATTCCTAGAGAAGGATTATTCTAGAGAATACACAAGTCAAACTAAACAGTTGACTTCCATAAGTGAAGCCTCAAAGAGTACATAGAAGAAGGAGCTCTTCCTCGGGTTGTACTTGGGCCCAGCTCTGCTTTGCTATAGAGCACTGGGCCATTTTTACTTCTGCACCACTTGGTGGAATGTTAGGCTTACCTGGAAAAGAGGAGTGAGGGTGTCTGTCCTTGACGTGAAGAATTTTGAAAACCAAAATACAAGACCAAAGGTAATTTAAATTTGTAAATTAAGCCTGGTGTGGTGGCTTATGCTTCAATATTCAGGAGGCAGAGGATCTCTATGAGTTGGAGGCTAGCCTGGTCTATATGAGTTCAGGACAGCCAGAACTACATAGTGGGACCCTGTCTCAAAAAAAACAATCAGAAAATCAAACAAATAAGCAAAAGAAAAAACCACAAACACACACACACAAATTTGTAAGTTATATTCAGAAGAGCTGATATGGCTACTCTCAGATTAGCAATTAAGATACCCTTTGAGATCTGGGTGACTTATTTAACCCAAAAAGTACAAAATATTGTAGACTACCAGAAGAAGTAAAGCATAAATACATCCAGACCTAGGAAAGACACAAGTTATTTGTAAAAGAAGGGGTTTAAGGGTTGTTATATCCCATACCTCTACGGCAATGTGTGTGTGTTTTCCAAAAAAAATAATTTTAAAAAAATGTGTGTTTTCCAGATACTTGTGGGGAGTTTTTGAGGGTTTTTGTTGTTGTTGTTCGAGACAAGATTTTTTTTAGAACAGATTTTTTTAAAAAAAATATTTATATATATGTATACAGTATTCTGTCTGCGTGTATGCCTGAAGGGCAAAAGAGGGCACCAGACCTCATTACAGATGGTTGTGAGCCACCATGTGGTTGCTGGGAATTGAACTCAGGACCTTTGGAAGAGCGGGCAGTGCTCTTAACTGCTGAGCCATCTCTATAGCTCCAACAGCATTTCTCTGTAGCTTTGGAGACTGTCATGGAACTAGCTCTTGTAGACCAGGCTGTCCTCGAACTTAGAGAAATCCGTCTGCCTTGCCTTTTAAGTGCTGGAATTAAAGGTGTGCACTGCCCGGCCAGACAACTTTTTTAAAGAATGTAATTTTAAACCAGGTATAGGAGCACAAATCTATAATCTAATACGACTACTCCAGAGACTGAGGTAAGATCAAGTTCCAGATTGTCTGGACAGCTTACTAAGAGCCTTTCATAGAAATAAGAACTGAAAGAGATGTGGAACTCAGTGGTAGTGCTTATCTACAGTGTGCAAGGTCCCACACATTCATTACCAAGGCAACGACCACCAAAACAGAGGTACTCTCAGTAGTGCCAAGAAAAGCACCTTCTCCCAGCTGGGTCCCTCAGGTTATCTCAGGTGCAGGAGCTACTAGATCAGTCCTCTTTGGATTTTATAAATCTGATAAAAGACTAAACATTTGTGGGCTGGAAATGCACCTATTGCTCTTCTAGAGGACCCAGCCACTGTAGCTCTAGCTTCAAGGGATCCTCTGTGGACACCTGCACACAAGTGACACACAAATGAACAAACTCTCTTTTAAAGAAATTGTCTTATTTCTGCAAAATTCACAATAGTCCACATTTCTTGCTTGGGGAAATTATAATTTTTCTTAAAGCACCATAAGTAAAAACTATAACTACTTCTAAAGCAATTAAAACAAAGTAAGAGAGCTTGGATTTCAGAGATTTCTCCCTTGAAGTTAGGGTTCACTCTAGAAGTCAGGGTCACTGTATCTATTTATTTTACTTTGCTGTTGACATTGGTCAAAGGTACAGATTTTGAACTCTTTGGATAACAGGTTAGTCTGTAGAGGTACGCCTCACCTGTCTCTGACACAACCCTGTATTGCCTGTGAGTACCCTTACCTGTACTCACCCCTCACTCTACCACCCATGGTGTCTTACCAGGTCCTGATTGGACATATCTCCAAGAAGATGAATAAGCAGACCTTCCCCGAGCACTGCAGTCTGTGTAAAGAGATCTTGCCATTCACGGATCGCAAGCAGGCAGTTTGTTCCAATGGGCACATCTGGCTCCGGTAAGCCCCCAAGGCTGCTCCTGTCTCAGTTTTGTGTAACCCAGAATCACCATCCAGGGCTGATCTGCTTTATGGATGAACTATCTGTGCTTGCTTGGGTTGCTGTTTGCCTTGTGGTCAGGGTTAGGGTCTTAGAGATGTGTACTTTTTAGTTAAGTTTCATAGTAAAAGGAGAGGGGCGTGTAACAGTCATGGGAGAGATGATAGGGCATCAGAGAGAGTAATCAGAATATATTATATACCTGTATGAAGTTGACAGACAGCAAAACCAATAAACAATTTTCATAATGAAAGAATCCTTTTCCTGTCCCCTTAGCCTAGCCAAAGAGGTGACTTTGGTGGGCTCTTATTTCCTGTCACCCCCTTCTCCATGAGATACTTTATTACCTAGCTTTCCTCCAGTCTCTAACTTCACATCCAGATGTCCGTGGATCCTGCCTCATCTCCTCAGTGCCCATCCCAGGCCTATCCTTACGGTCATCATCCACCATTCCTCAAGCATTCTCTTATTTGGTTTGTGTCTGCTTCAGTTCAGACTTGCAAGTTAACTTCCTTGCCTGCCTGGCATCTGTAGTGAGGAGCTGCAGGCAGGCCTGCTTTTCGTCCTGCCCAGCTCCCGCCCGGCTAGCTTAACCCCGGAAATAACAACACACAAATTGTATTCATTTAAACATTGCCTGGCCCATTATCTGTAGAGAGTTAGTTACTGGCTAACTCTCACATCTTGATTAACCCATTTCTAATAATCTGTGTAGTACCACGAGGTGGTGGCTTACCGGGAAAGATTCAACATGTCTGACCTGGTGGCTGGCTTCATGGTGTCTGCCTCATTGCCCTCTTCCCAGCATTCTGTTCTGTTTACTCCGCCTACCTAATTTTCTGTCCTATCAGAGGGCCAAGGCAGTCTCTTTATTAACCAATGAAAATAACATATAGACAGAAGACCCATCTACATCAGGCATCCATATTTAGTTGTTGCCTTGGCACTTTACAAAGAATCCAGCCCCCTCATCATTTCTGCCTCTACAGCCCTGGCTCAAACACCATCCTTTTCATGCATATGATGGTAGCTATCTTCCACCTGCTGCTTCCATACTCGAACCCTCAGTCTGTTCTCTGAAGTTGTGGCCATGATATTCAATCTTTATCAGCCCTTGTCACATCAGTAGTCAGTACTCTCCACTAGGACTAGGGATTTGGGTCCATGATAGAGCATACCTCTAGCATTTGTAAGACAAAAACCAATAAAAGCTCTCCAGGAGCTGACCATTTCTGAATTGAAAAGCTAAAACTTTACATAATTTGCAGACTTTTCACAGCCTGTTCTTGCCTCTTCAAGCCCTCATCCTTGCTCTGAGCTCAGGTCCCAGATTTCTCCATCCAGGAGAACAGGCCACCTTGCTCAGGTCCATATGGCACCCCTCCCACTTGAGGATGTCTGCAGGGACACAGTAGAGTCCTAATGCTTCTCAGCTGAGGCTTCTCGCCCCAGCTCTCTCTCTCCCTCCCTCCTTCCCGCACCTCGCTCCCTGACACACACACTTCTGTCTGGTCCTATATATCCCTCTACTTTGCTGGTTTTCTCCTTATTCTCCTTTCACATTCCATTCATTCTTTTCTTTTTAATAAGGATGGGGTCTCACTATAGCCCAAGTTGGCCTTGAATTCGAGCTCTGTCTCCTGAGTGCTGGGATCAAACACCTGTATCACCACAGGAGGCCCTTTTATATCTTTGCCTAGTTACCCTTCCTTTGGACTAGGCAGTTCTCTGAGCACAGAGACTAAAGCAGTGTTTGCTAATGCTCAGCAGAAATGTTAGATTCATTTAACTACAACAGGACTATGATACACATACCATTTATCCATTCATTCATTCATTTTCTTTCTTGTTTTGTTGTGTGTGTTTTATTGACAGATCTCACTGTGTTATGAGGCTGGTCTCAAATTTAATGATCCTCCTGCCTCAACCTCCCAGGCATGTGCCACTGTGCCCAGGATTTTGTTTCCCTTTTTTTAAATTTATTTATTTATTTATTTACTTATTTATTTATTTATTTATTTAGCTTTTCAAGATAGAGTTTCTCTGTGTAGAGTAAGAGTGGATCTTACTCTGTTGACCTTAGAGATCCGCCTGCGTCTGCCTCCCAAGTGCTGGGATTAAAGGTGTGCGCCACCATCGCCCAACCAGAGTTCCATTCATAATGGAAGTAGAGCTGGAACCTTCAAGCATGTGGGTGCTCTATGTTACCTTCTCTTGTTGACATGTTTTTTTCCTCGCTTGACTGTTCAGGCACCTTTTTCCTTGAAGAGAAAGAGTAGTTAAGAATCTAATATTGGGGGCTGGAGAGATGACTCAGAGGTTAAGAGCACTGGTTGATCTTCTGGAGGTCCTGAGTTCAATTCCCAGCAACCACGTGGTGGCTCACAACCATCTGTAATGAGATCTGGTGCCCTCTTCTGGCCTGCAGGCCTACAAGGAGGCTGATATCTAATATTGGATAAATTTTAGGCTTGTAATCAAACTCACATCTTTTGAGCACTGTCAGCATGCCAGATAAATTGGGACAGATGCACATTCCTTAAGTGACCATATCCTCACAGTGACCACACACAGAGAAGTCCCGTGAGGATCTCCATTTTGTGGATAGGCTGTTATTGGGGCGTAGGGATATTAAGAATAACTTACCTGAAGTTAGTGAGCTCAGAGCCCACATTGTAATCACTGCCTGCTCATGCCTTCCACGTTTGTGGGTTGTTTCAAGGAAGTTGTTTTTCATTTTTCTCATTAAGGTTAGCCCCAAAATACATTGGTATAATTTCCCTCTGGTGAACTCTTTTTTTCTTTCTTTCTTTCTTTTTTTCTTTTTTTTTTTTTTTTGCTGTATACCTAAGTCCCAAGGTCAACTTTGGAGTCCCTTCCCCTGACCTTCTGTTTTCTACTCCTTAGTTGTTTACTTGAAAACTGCCACCTCACTGTAGGCAGTGATGGTACACTCCTTTAATCCTAGCACGAGAGGTAGAGGCAGGCAAATCTCTGTGAGCTCAGGGCCAGCCTGGTCTACAAGAGCTAGTTTCAGGACAGCTAGGACTTTAACAGAGAGAAAGCTTGTCTCAAAAAAAGAAGGGAGGGAGGGAGGGAGGGAGGGAGGGAGGGAGGAAGGAAGGAAGGAAGGAAGGAAGGAAGGAAGGAAGGAAGGAAGGAAGGAAGGAAGGAAGAAAAAACTGCTACCTCTCATTTTCTCCAGAATGCAGTTACACTCTGTTGTACATGTGTTGTGTGTGATGTATGTGCCAGACAAGAACATCGAGTGTCCTCTATCCCACTCCACTTTATTCTTTTGACACAAAGTCTCTTTTGGAACTAGACCTCACATTTTTCTGCCAGGCTGGCAACCAGTAAGTCCCAGCGATTCTCCTGTCTCTGTCCCGCTCTGTACTAGGCTACAGATGCAAGTGGGAACAGAACTGGTTTGTTACTTTGGTGCTGGAATCTGAACTCAGGCTGACCTCATGCTTACATAGCAAGCACTCTTACCCTGAGAGCCATCTTTCCAGCTCTAGTACCTTAAGGTGCCCCTAGACCAGTGGTTCTCAACCTTCCTAATGCTGTGAACCTTTAATACAGTTCCTCATGTTGTGACCCCAACCATAACATTATTTTCATTGCTACTTCATAACTTCAGTTTTCTACTGTTGTGAATTGTAATGTAAATATCTGTTTTTCAGTGATCTTGGATGACCGCTGTGAAAGGACTGCTCACCCCTCCCTGGGGTCACAACCCACAGGTTGAAAACTGCTGACCTAAGGGCTCTTAAAGGTGGTCCATATACTTTATCTTAAAAACTAATGAGTGGCTTTGCATATGATATGTGAGTGTTTACATATCAAGAAAGCAGTTAGGGAGAACCAGACTGAACTCTTTCCTAGTACTTCTGTGACTTCCTGCATAGAGACTTTGGTCACTTCAGAATGTGGTAGCAGCAGAGAGGGAAGCATTGCCCTGATAACTGTGGGAGTTTCTCTCAGCACCTGCTGCTTTCTGGTGCTGTTGGGCCCAAAGAGCGTCCTCTGACTGGACTCTGTCTTTCAGGTGTTTTCTAACCTACCAGTCCTGCCAGAGCTTGATATACCGACGGTGTTTGCTTCATGACAGCATTGCCCGGCACCCTACTCCAGAAGGTAGGTGCTGGCTTAGCCTTGGGTGGGGTGGAGTCAGGTTCCACATCACATAAATGTCCTGCTCTTGGTTCACCACAGACTCATTCTTCTCTCTGCAGTTACTGTAAAGCCAGAACCAGTTAACAAATGGTCCCAGGAATTCACAATGCATGTGTGTGCTGTATGTCAGCTGATGGTGGAATAGGGAGCTGTTGTTGATCTACTTCTGCAACAAGGTCTTCAGTCCAGTGGGAGGGCCTGACTCAAGGGAGTATGTAGGGGTTATATTTGGGTAGCCACTCTGCAGATGATGCTCTTACACAAACTGTTGTTGTTACTGGTGCAGTATTGCTCTTCTAGAAGCCATTGAGGGCTAGTTCCTGGTTGATCTGTGTGCTCTTTCACATATTTTTGTTTCTGAGAGTGCTAGCTAGAAAATAAGATCTTAGAGCTGGGCAATGGTGGTGCACACCTTTAATCCCAGCACTTGGGAAGCAGAGGCAGGCGGATCTCTGTGAGTTCGAGGCCAGCCTGGTCTACAAAGTGAGTTCCAGGACAGCCAGGGCTACACAGAGAAACCCAGTCTTATGGGGAAGAAAGAAAGAAAGGAAGGAAGGAAGGAAGGAAGGAAGGAAGGAAGGAAGGAAGGAAG